TATTTAGCATTGTATCTTTAGTAAATTCTTTGTAGTATTTGATTAGTTGTGTAATATATCTGGGAGGACAGGTGTTGTAAATGTGTTGCAACATGGTTGTTAGTATTGAGAATTGAGTAACAGGAGGGTGTTTTGTTGAGTCTCTTTGTGATTATTTTGTAAATATTTTCCTGATTTGTTTTGTGAGTGTAATAGGTCTTGTATGTTCTCAGTGTCTGGTAAAGGTTTGTTTTTTAGATATTGGATATATGCGACTGTTTTTTTATAGAACTAGTACTTGTTATAACTTTAGGCAGGCATTGTAGATGTTGAGTAGTATTGAGAGTATAGTAGTATCTAGGTGCTTTAGCATTTAGTTAGATATGTTTTGTGGTCTAGTAGTCTTGTTGTTTGGTGCTTCTTTTATAGCAATGTTGAGTTCTTCTATAGAGATTGTATCTGAGAGATCTCTGTACCATGAGTCTTGTATATTGGATATTGGTTTGTATTCTTGTTGCCATATGTTCCAGAGCTGGTTGTCTACAGGATTGGGCTTTGTCTATCTTTCATAATAGATCTGTATGTGGTTTCTAATCTGTAGTGGGTCTGTAATAATATCATTTGGTGTGTATATATTGTGAAGGACTACTGAGTCTGAGTGTCTCTTCAATATGCTATCAGTCATCTTAGACATGTTTTTAGCAAAATTGTTATTTCTGTGCTCTATGTACTGGTTTATTGTTTGTGTATGAGTGATGTTGTTTTCAATCTTTCTCGTATAATAAATTGTTTTCTGCACTGCTTTGAGTTTGAATATAGTAGCATTGATGTTGACTTTTGCTAAATCATTATTTGTTATTGGATTAATTGCTACTTTGCTGTATTTATTTATAATTTGGATGTTTAAGTTGATTTGTTGTATGTCTAAGTTGGTATGCATGTTGTTACTAAGCTTTTTGATTAGTTTGTTAATTGTTTTGAGAGTGTGGTATAGTGCTGTAGCCTTGTTAAGAAAGCATAGAAGGTTCTGGGTGAAGTTGTGGTTGTTGGTATGTGTTTCATTGCTGTGTATTTGATTGCTGTGTAAATTTTATGCCAGTGTTTATTAAGAGTTTTAAAGTCTTTTATTTGTTGATTTGCAATGCTACTTTTGTGAATTTGGCTAGTTGCTGCTTAAGCAAACTCTGCCCATGAGTCTCTGTCATTTGGTTATATTGAAATATTGTTATTTTCCTTTTTTTTGCCAAATGATTTTTAATTTTAGAGTTGTATTTCCATTCTATACTGATAATTTTGTGGTTACTATTGGTAATAAGGTCTGCTGCATGGAGTATGGGGCAAGTAAAGGAATGTACAAGGTAAGTAGGTATCCATATATTGTCTATTTGGCTATGCATGTTTTGTCTGCACCATGTGGGTGAGGTAATATTAAAGTACTTGAGTAAACTGATAAGCCTGGCTGTTTGCATTGTTTGAAAGACAGAGATACTCTTCAATTGCTTGCTGTAGTCATAATTGAAGTCTCCTAGTACTATAGTGTGGTAGTTGTTCTTGTTTGCTTGCTCAATCCATTTTGTTGCTATTCTTTGTGTTTCAAAGTTGAGGTCTTTGTTGTTGGATGGTAGATATACTAATATGATTCGAGTTTTGTTGTAATTGGGAAAGAAGAAGTCGATTGCGATAGCAGTACCAGGCTATGTGATAATATTGTGGATATAGGGTCAGAGTAGTTTTGTAATAGCAATTGCTGTTCCCATACTTGCTTTCTGAGCTTTTGCTGTTGAGATATCACAGTTTGCGGTATAGATATAGTAATAGAGATTACTAGTCTGTAAATTAGTATATATAGATGCAGCCAACTTTGTTTCAGTCATGCTAATTATGTGAAACTGGTGTGCATTGCAGAATTCAAGCCATAATTGTGTTTTGAGTTTTGTGTTTAGGCCTTATATGTTATGTGTAGCAATTGTAATTTTGTCCTTTATAGGTGGGCTATGTGGTGTTTGTAATCTGTTGTAATTTCTATTGTTGTTGGTTCTGTTGTGGTTGAATTAATTTGAGATGATACTGTGTTGTACACAAATTTGTTGTTATTTAATGAGATTATATTTATTGAGAGAAAATTCCCCAGGTAGGTTCTGAAAGAGATGGGAGTGCTAAGATAGAGTTGGGTATAATTTTGATTGTAAAGTGCTGATACAATATGCCAAGGGTTTCAGAAACATTCTTTTGGTCAGTAATAGGAAGAGACAGTTGTATTGTATCAACATTAATATTTTTTAGATGACTTAGAATTTCATTCAGCTCATTTGGTATTGTTGGTTTAATAGGTGAGATGTCTGTTGGGTTGGTTTCCTCTGTGGTATTAGAATTGATTTCTATCTAAGAGTCAAGGATATAATGAAAGTAATAAGATTCTCTTAGTAGTTTGACTACCTCTGTTAGGCTCTTTGTTGAGGTGATATGTGTTAGGATGCTATATTCTGAGTTCTCAGGAAGGTTAGGCTTTTTGGTGGGGTTGACAGTCATGATTTTTGGAGATATTGACAAATTAAATTTGTAATCCTGTCTAATGTCTATGATGAATTCTATGGCATCCTGCTTGTCATTAATTGGAAATGTATAGGTCTTTATAGTTTTGATTTTGTTTGGATCCTTAGGGAGAGGAAGTTTTGTCTAGTAGTAGTCATTAGGCAGGTTTTTAAAGGTGTATTCTTCTCGTAGTTCTTCTATAATTCTTTGGGATTTGCCATAGCAGTCATTTGGGTCTAGTGAGAAGTAGCTTCTATATTTATAACTAAGATCTTGGTATGCCAGGATAGGCGAACTTTGGGTTGTGGTAGGTCAAAGTAGTCTGGTGATATTGTTTTCACCTCGTAGTATTGGCTGAGTTTTCTTTTATAGTTGTCTAATTCTCTAAGGCATTTTCTATCAGTGCTTGGGAATAGGTCTCTTACTGCTAGATGAAGATTGGCCAGGTTAGTTGGAAGAAGGTCTAGGTTTGCAAAGTACTTCTCAGGTAGTTGGTCGAATTGGTATATATAATAAAGTGTAGTGACTACTGCTTTAGTATAGGCTTTGTTTTTTATAGATAAAGTAAAAGGTAATATTTGTTATATATCCTCTGGGATATCATATGGATGACTAGGTAGTTGTTGAAGTTTTCTAGAAAAGGCCTCTTGGACTGTCTTTTGAATTTCTTCATGTTTATTTAGCATTGTATCTTTAGTAAATTCTTTGTAGTATTTGATTAGTTGTGTAATATATCTGGGAGGACAGGTGTTGAAGTTAGTATTTTTTATATAATCAAGAAATAACTTTTGCCAGAATTTCTGATAAATGCTATCTCTTGTATCTTTGTTAGTTATTGTGATTTAATTTGCTTTTTTATAATTTTGTAGTGCAATGTAGAACATTTTTTTGTATTCCATTTGATGTTGTGGTATGAAACATTTGGCCCTAGTAAAAATAAGAAAGAATGCCTAGTCTAGGTGCTTGAATTTGGCAGAAATGTCTAGAGAGATTTGCTTTTGAGTAGGTTTGGTTGATATTTTGTACTTGATAAAATCTTGTAGACTCTCGCTAGATTAAAAACTGATAATCAGTTTGTCATAGTGCCATGTGTTGCTATCAAAAGGCTGTGTAATTTCTCTTGTTAGCTCTTTATATATATGTTCTAACTATTTTTGGGTAGGGTCCTCATTAATTTGCATTATATTGCTAATCAAATTTTGTTTAGTCACTTGGTATATATACATGTATTAGGGCTATCTTGGTGTGCAAAAATGGTTGAGGCTGTGTGGTTTTCATTTTGATGTTGGTTTGAATACTTTCTAGTTCGGTAATAAGGATGGTCATTTTAGTACCTACTGGTTCTTCTTGTTAAGTGGTGTTCGAGTTGAGCTAGGTACAGCTTGCTGCAGGTCCTATGTCATGTGTTTTTGTTGTTGTGTTGTTGTTGTTTGGAGGCTTGGGTGTGTCATCATTTCTAGAATAAGGTATGTTGCCTAATATGATAATGTTAGGCTGTTGTTGCAAGAAATTATCATTGTGTTGTTTTTTTCTGAGTATTCTG